CTCCTGTCACCAGGTACCTCCTTTGATCTCCATGACCTTTCAAAGATGGAGAGTGGCCTCCATATGACATGAGTCAACTGTCTCAGCACCCTTCAGTGCAGCCCAAGGGGTCTCACAGATGTTCAGGAGAAGCAGGTTAAGTCAGGAAAAAGAAATCTGGGGCATGGAGGAAAATACTGAGATATTTGTGAGTGAAGTAATCTAATGCAAAATTGGCACATGGATGAATAGTTCTTTTTGTCTTTGCTAATGTGTCCCTTTCATGTAATTAAGTGAGAATCTAATTAGTTCTTGAGTTCATATCTATTGGAGCTGCATTTCGATTTTATTCCCAAGCGTGAAAGAGCAGGGACTTTAGGTCAAGCTGGATTCATGTTGGCTTGATGAGTGATTCTAGGTATCAGATCTTGTCAAAAGAGGACATCATTACCACCTCACAGTCTATGTGGATTCCATCGGCTTTACTTTATTCCTAGCCCAACCCATCTGATTCAGGTTTTTACCCATTTATCCTTTTTAATTCAGGATTTGCCTTCACCCCTCCTCCCAATGAGTAGCACGTTTTGCTCCTGTTCTGCTGGTCTGTGGATTCATTGTTTGCAGGCTGGCAAGCCCCCAGTTCTGGGGTGACAGATGGAGCAGACTGCAAACCAGGCAGTTGCCTCCCAGCCTGAATGATATTTTAATAAGCACAGAGAGGTGACAGGAAGAGGAGCTTCTCACTGGAATGACTGGCAGGTTTGTTTTCATCCTGAAAGCACTAATAGAGGATTTTGGCCTCAGTCCAGAAACAAAAAAAATCCCAGAAACTGGAAGCAGAAAATCCCATTAGCTTCTTATTTACCCCTCTGTTTTAAGGGTCAAAGTTTCTTCTTTCTGGTCTATTCTCCAGATACAGATAGTTCCCGTTTGGGGGATTTTAGCTCTCTCAGGGATTCTATACTTCAAGAGACTTGCCATGTATTTATCTTTTCTTTTCCTTCTTTTTTTTTCCCATTTCATTCATTTTCTCCATTGTCTTCTTTCCTTCCTTCCCTAAACATTCTCTTTTCTTCTGGTTTCTTTACACTCTTCACAGTGTAAATCTTTGCAGATTCATGGTAAAGTCTGCCTGAATAATGGGCCCTACCAATTTACTTGGCTTCCAGCTTCCACATCCTATGAAAACAGCCAGTGCAGTGCTAGGCAATGGCATCTGCATGGGAATCTCTAGAGCATATGTCTTCTCCTCCTGCCCTTCAGCTGTATCTCAGTTGTATAATAGAGGGTCTGTGTAGGGCTTTGTTTCATCCTTGGTCTTATGAATAAAAGCACTACAAAAAGAAGCTTTGGCAAAGCCCCAGCACACTCTGAGATCCCTCTGCATTGTGAGCAGCACAGTGTTTTGCAGACAAGCTGTAGGATAGCTAGGCTTTCAAATGAGAAGATTGTTTTTCTTCCTACAAGTACAGGGAATAAAGGTCCAGCTCTTGCTAGGAAAATATCAGAACGGTGCTTGGATCTGAACTGAGGTATGGTCCTACACACTGATCAGGGAATGCACAGGAATCTTCCTCAGTATCTGGACATAGAACTTCACGTTGTTTATCAAACTTCAGGTCTGGGTTTAAACTGGAGAATGAGCTTTAAATTAATGGGATTCCTGATAAAATATGCTTCTTTTTCCTTTCAGATACAATGATGGCACTGAAGGTCCAGGTTCTCTTTGGCTTCCTTTGCTGCATGATTTTTCTGCCTACAGATGGCTTCCCAGCAGACACCAGTACAGAATTTCGCTCTGCCTTCTCTGTGGCCAGAACCAGCAGCATGGAAGGGAGCTCTGAGATGGTCATTACCTTCGACAAAGTGTATGTGAACATTGGCAATGACTTTGATCCCAAGTCCGGATTGTTCCGCTGTCGGATCCCTGGAGCCTACTACTTCTCCTTCACTGTTGGGAAATACCCAAAGAAGAATCTGTCGGTCATGCTGATGAGAAACAAGAATGAGGTGCAAGTGATTGTGTATGATGAACATCACCGCAAGGAACGGAAGGTAGCAAGTCAGAGCGCTATGCTGCAGCTTGACTACGGTGACACTGTTTGGCTGCGTTTACATGGAGATCCCAAGTATGCTCTTTACAGCAATGTGGGTCCCTATACAACTTTCAACGGCTACCTAATCTACCCAGACACTTCTGCCTTCTTCCAGAATGCTCTTAGCTCTCAAGAAGTAGGGCCACACCATCACACTGTTCAGCAACTTCCCAGGGAGCAGAATGAAGTTTCACAGCCACGCATGTTATCTGATCAACCAAGCAGGGAACAAGACCCCCGCTCTGCATTCTCTGTTGCCCGCTCACAGAGTCTCCTGGGGACAGATGACAAGCAAACCCAGCATGAGCCCATCACATTTGACACGGAGTTTGTGAACATTGGGAAAGATTTCAACTCCTCCACTGGCATCTTCACATGCCGTATACCCGGTGCTTACTATTTCTCCTTCACCATCGGCAAAATGCCCTTTAAGACCATGTCAGTGAAACTGATGAAGAACCACAATGAGGTGCAGGCCATGATCTATGATGACAACCACTCCAAGAGGCGCGAGATGCAGAGCCAGAGTATTATGCTGCCACTGCAATATGGGGACACGGTTTGGCTCTACAGCCACCAGCACGATGGCTATGGTGCCTACAGCAACCATGGCAAGTACATTACCTTCACAGGCTTCCTGATCTATTCAGAGGCTCAGCCAAAGCAGCTTCCAGGTTTCAGCTCAAATAATTAAGGGTCAAATAATTAATTACAGATGTGAAAGGAGCACAAGAAAAGCAAAGGTGCCATGAACTTGGGTATAGCTCCTCTTCAACTATCGTCCTCTACTTTGAGCATGCTATCATGTGTCCAGTGCTTCCCTTATGCTGCACGCTTGTTCCCTCTCTGCAGGGTCACTGCTGTGTCTGCCATTCATCCACAGAGAGGTCTTTATAGTTTGTATGTGTGTGTCCTGTGTTAGTGTTTGATTTAAGCATAAAGCATGAGGTAGTTTTCTGGGGCAGGGGTGGGCCAGTGTAGTGAAATGCCAAGGATCAAAGAACAACTGCAGTAATGTTCCTGCAGATCCCCAGCATCCGGAAAGCAAAGGATACGGTCACTTTCCTTGCATATCTGGGGAGGGAATAAATGTAACGAAAATGAATGTAATAAAAAGACAAAATATGTAAAATTTTCTCAGATTGGAATTTTTTTTACTTGTGTGCTTGTCACCAGCTGAGGTACCAGCTCAGGAGAGAAGGCAGCATGGTGATTGTACCAGCTGCAGTATGTGCTACTGAGCCAGTCTGCGTGCACACTTTTTTATCATCCATGTGTGTGAAGTGTTGGTACCTCTTACAATATTAACACAAATGTCCCAATATTTGGTGCTTTTCTTAATCTGACATCAGTTGAGTCAAGAAGCTCTTTGAGAATCTCAGCTTCCATTTAATGAAAATAATACATTTAGAAACAAACCAAGAAGTGGGCTTCTAGCTCTTGTAGTAAAGGATGAGGGCTCAAATCTACGAATGGAGCATCCTCTGAAAGCTCAGAAACAAGGTAAGTAAGAAGAATAAAATATGTATCTTTAAATCCCTTCATATTTGGGTCAGAAGCAGGCTCAGAATAATAAGTGTGATAAGCAATGTCAATGTTGACTGCTGGGGCATTATATTCCCCATAAATTAGCTCCTTGAACACAAGAACACAAGGATATGGCTGATCTGCTGTCTGCTGTACTGGTAACCTAGTGCAAACAGGATCAAAGGCACCATCAGGTGGTACTTTCAGCATCTGTATTCAGTGGTTTCTTACACAATGTGTTTGCCAAACCATAGTGCTGTGCAGAGGGACTGTGGCTCTGGAGACCCCTGGCATGTTCCCACAGGGCAGTAAGGACTGACAGCAGGATCCAGGAGGGAAGTAGGAAAGCAGGAGGCTGGAGGCTTCATCACAGTGTGACTGATGCTGTTGCCATCGAGCCAAACCCTGGTTTGTCTCCCCAAATACATAAACTGCAAAGTGCCAGGTTGGATGAGGCTTGGAGCAACCTGGTTTAATGGAACGTGTCTCTGCCATAGTAGGGAGGTTGGAACTAGATAACCTTTAAGGTCCCCTTCAACCCAAAGCATTCTATCATCTTGAGCATGCATAAAACTTATTAAACTCAAGTTTAATTTATAATCTGCTCAACACATAGCAATGCTCTTAGACTGATCCTAACAATATCCTGAATTCAAAAGGGTGTGTTTGCATCTGGGTCACCAAGCCAACCCTCTCAGCTTTTACTCACACATTCACATAGCTCAGACAATACATTCTCCAACCAGACAATATTCCTTTATTCCAGTGCCATCCCTTCTTGGCTTTTTGATGATACTCTCTGCTCAAACTGAACTCGTCTGCAGCCACTCCCTGCCTTTATCACTATGTACGTACCCTAGACACTAAAGACTGGGGGCATACATGGGAAAAGGATGAAGGGTAGTGGTTGGAGGTATGTGAAAAACAGCATAAGAATAGAAGAACATTAGGTGGGACACTGGTTTACTGGAGGTTATACTTCAAATAAAATGCTACATCCTTTGGGAAAAAAACCCAACAACAAAACGACAGCCAACCTGCTTTATGGACTGTGTAAATCTGTCTCCTCCTGTCAGAGCCCTAACCTGACCTCTAAAACTATGCTCTGTAACATCTTGCTTCCAGGCTTCTTATTCCTGCCTCGCCACTTCTCCTCTCCATCTGTTGGGCAACAATGGCTTGGAGAAAGATTAATGAAGGCAAAAGCCAGCAATTCCCACTTTGAATTTCGCACATGCCTCCTTTGCTGAGCATGGAAAGTTAAGAGTATATTGCTAGAAAGAGAATTATGGATGCCATCACCTAAGCACGTGCAATGAATGTGCAAAATTAATGTACCTACAATGGCAGCAGGAAACCTAGTAGAAACAAACAAAAAAAATCAAACCCCTTATTATGTTTATTTAATTCCACATTGCAGTGTGTTAGACAGAGAAAAGTTAATGATCTCTTTCTATAAAATGATTGTATTTCTCATTTTGAGGATGGAAATCACATATTTATTATGTTCGGCTTGTAAAATGCCATAGCTGTACAAAATAAACTTCATAGAAGAGGTAAAATCTGCTCCAGAAATAACTAGGTCACAATCCTCAGGAATTTAAATGAGCCCTAAGGAAGTATATTCCAGATATATTCCCAATAACTGACACAAAGCAGACTACATGTGTAAATATGATATGCAAATGCTAGAATGCTTCACGGAATACATATATTTTCAGGTTTCTTTTTAAATAAAATTGAATAGTTGAGATGGGAAATTATTATGGACACATAAAATGTGATGCCACATGGGCAGAAAGTGGAAATTAAATAGGTGACCTATATCATGAAACACAACAAAATCTGCTTTGCTGGTTAAAAGAAAGGAGAAAAGATGCTGTATTTGGCTGAGACCACAGCAGGAATATAAAGAGGCTGAACTGACTGATCTGAAATGAAGTCAGCTAGGACAGGAGTGTGACTTCCTGGAAAAACACTGCCAGGGCACCTCTCCAGTAAGCATCAGAGATGAAGACAGATAACACATCTGAATAGCACTGCCCCCTTCAGCACAGCCCACTCAAACCCAAAACACAAGCAGAACAAAAGCAAAAAGGAGTGAAATGCACTTTAGAAGGAGAGAGTGAAATGTACTTTATGGTTTTGTCCTATTTAACTTAAAATTAAAAGCTTGTGCAGAAATCCTTTTAGAGTTGGCAGCGCATCGCAGAGAGCAGGACAAAAAGGTATGGTGTATTTGCACAAAGTCCTGAATAATGTGGAAACCAACATAACCAAGGATGCAGCTGAAGTCAGGTGTGTCCTTTCCTATGGTAGTTTCCTTTACTAAGTGTTTCTCTTGGTCCTGGCCAGGTTAGAGCGATAGAGATGTTTCAGGGATGCTAAATGAGAAGGCTTCTCCTTCCAGGGCCAGGAAGCCAGGAGCAGGGTGGTATTTGCAGGGCAGAGCCCCTTGCACAGGTCACGAAAGATTTCATCCACCAGCTGAGAGAAAAAACGAATCCAGAGATTTTTATCCAGACCCTGCGTGGAGCGAACCTGATAGGCGCAGTAAACACTGGTGAAAAGCAGGCGGTCAAACCCCACTGGAGGCAAGGGGGTATCAGTCAGTGAATAGTAGCTCAGGTGCTGCTCAATCTCTGCCGGTGTTTTGGGAACTTCCTCCTCTAAAACATGCATGAACCACCGTGCCGGGCGCAGGGAGGCCAGCTCTTCATCCCGCAGCCGGACTGTCCCATTGGCCTGAACATCCAGCCCTCCCCACAGCATCTGGAAGAGAAGAGCAGCACGTGAAGCCCAGCACAAACCCTCCGCCAGTTATAACCCAGCTGTAAAGCCATCTGCAACGCTGCTAAATCTCAGGCCACACCGACAGGCGGCTGCTCCCTGACTCGCTGCCCACGGCCCGCCTCATCCCACTCCATGTCCTTCTCTGCCAGCCCCACACCCTTTTTCTGACCGCCCCACACTTCAGTGTCCCTGTGGGACCCAATCAGCTCTCTCCCGCCCTGCCGCATCTCCTGATGTATTCCCACCCACAGCAGCTCCCAAGCACAGCTGCCTTGGGAGGGGGGCTTGGCCACTTGGGGAAGTCACCCATCCCATGGGGATGGTCCTTGTCCCACCCCAGAGGTTTGAGGTGCCATGGAGGGGATAAGAGCCCCCCTCAGCTGCACCCCACAATGGAAGGGAACACAAACGCATTAGGGCATCACTGAGGTGTTCTCCAGGCATTCCCGAAATCCAGGAGGGATGAGAACAAGCAGAACGTGTGAGTTTTTACATACAGGAAGGTGGGACCATGGGCACTAACAGTGCCATGGCCCAGGGGCCCCCCACCCCGGAGACCTCTAACACGATGTCCGCATCCTCTGGGCTGCGATGGGGAGTGTTGGCGCCGGCACCATCCCTGCTGTAAGGATGTTCATCTGGAAGACATCAGGCAGAGTTTGGTAGCGCACGATCAAGGCCCTTCCTGTTTATGTTTGTCATTTGGTTCGCAATAACATCTTCAATGTTTCTGAGCTGTCACTCACAGCTTGCCAAACATGACAGATGCTGACCATGGGATTTTGATAAGCAAAACAAGCTTTTTAAGAGAAAAAAAACACACTTCTTTTAGGACAAGCAGAAGTGTTTAAGGGAGGCAAGTGTAACTTTTGGATATGACAGCCCTTAATCCTGCCAACAGAGCTAAGGCAATGGCAGCAAAGGAATTTGCTTTGACAGGCAGGAAGGAAGCTTTCACACTGAGAATGGGTGGGTTTTGAACTGATGGGGCTTGGTTGCTTGGCAGCTTTTGCTGGAGAAAGCAACACTTCCCAATGGAAGGAGGGTGCTGGGAGGATCCTCAACCTGCTGGTGGAGACATACCCTGATGCTTATCCTGGTTTTATACTTCCCTGAGCATCTGCTGCCAGCACAGGCAAAGTGTGGGGGGCAAAGAAACCTGGTCAGATGCATTATGGCTCTTATGTCCAGATAATTCCTTGCTGGGCCACCCCACATCATTTAAAAGGGGAAAAAATATACAAGGCGAGAGCAATGGGGGTTTACTAATATGAAAGTTACGTTAATCCTAAGAATTCTTAAGTTTTCATCAAATAACACTTTTAGTGCTTTAGCTTTTGCATTTATTTTGCCTTTATTATTTCCTTCTTGGTGAAAAAGGAGACACAAGCAGCCTCAGTCCAGGACTGTGACAGGGAGGCTGCATCCCCTCCCTTCTCTGTTGCTCAGCATAGTAATGTAGCCAAGACCCTACAGACTCATCCTTAAGGTCAAGAAACATGAAATGGAAGAGGCTCATATAAAATATAAGCTGTCAGACACCTTTTTTAAAAATATTTTTGTATGGATTAAAGCTTTTTTATATAAAAAAGAGGGATAGTTTATATGGAAGACTGCAGAGTTAAGGTCAGCAGGTGCTTATAGAGAGCAGAAAAATCACTGAACACCATGTGTGTGTGATGACCACTAACAAACTGCACTTCCAACTTTCCACCCTTGATTAAAGCTTACCAGGGAGATGCACAAGCTGCCTGAAGAAGCGCACTGCCACCCCCAGAGCTGCAGAGATTTGTTTCTCTGCACAGCTGCAGGCTCCCTGATCCAAGCCAGCCGTGGCTTTGGAATGCAAGCAGAGATGTAGCTGCTCTTTCCTACTCCTCCGTGGATGAGCCAGGAAGGCTTTTAGCTCAGGTAAAAATACTGCATCATCTGATTCTTTCTTTGCAGGGCTTCTCTCTGCTAACTGATCCTCTAGGTTCACAGATCTCTCTATTGAATCCTCTACATACAATTGGATTCAAAGTCAGTGTATTTGGTGACTAGCTGCCAAAATGCTGTTCTTAGTAACGGTCTCGTCAGTATGTGCACTGTTAGATCCCTGAGTAGAGCAAAACAAACATCAAACAAATCATAACAAATAATGTATTGAAATAATAACATAAATATCCTCTGGAGATGGGAAAAAAATGTCCTTCGTTCACTTGAGCATCCAACAATTGTTTGTTAGTTTGTTTGTTTGCTTGTTTTTCCCAAAAAGCATCTGGAAAATCCACAAAAATTCTTGCAGAAGCAGATTTTTTTTCAGTGCAGACCCAAGAAAACCTTCCCCCTGCCACTGAACATCGCAGCAGGGCTTTACCCTACAAGTAGGTACAAGTGCCTCCCCCGGTGATCTGGGACTCCAGATCTCTCCCATGTCAGCACAGCCAGCTGTAGGATTTGACCATATTTAGAATCATTGAATCCCAGACTGGTTTGGGTTGAAGGGACCTTAAAGCTCATCCATTTCCAACCCCTGCCATGGGCAGGGACACCTTCCACTAGAACAGCTTACTCCAAGCCCCTGTGTCCAACCTGGCCTTGAACACTGCCAGGGATGGGGCAGCCACAGCTTCTCTGGGCACCCTGTGCCAGCGCCTCAGCACCTTCACAGTGAAGGATTTCTCCCTAATGTCTAATCTAAATCTCCCTTCTGTCAGTTTAAAGCATTCCCCTTTGCCCTGTCCCTACCTGCCCTTGTCAAAAAGCCTGAAGAAGCAGGCAGTCTCACACCATTGGCATTGCAGGAACATTCCCCAAGCCAAGAAGCCACATCCCGAGCAGGTGCATTTCCTACCTGTGAGCCTCTGGGATCCAGCAAACACGCACAGGATCAGCCAGGCATTGACCTGCTCCGGGGCCATAGCAGCCCTGCTCCCACCCATGCACAGACAGTGCCCTGCGTGGAGTGAAGGCTGTTTGCAGCGGTGTCCTCCCTTGCTGCTTCTGGTCCCAGCAGCCTCTGTTGGAACGGATCCATCTTTCTGTGTTCCTGGTTACAGTCCTGGGAAGGGCTTGCAGTTCAACTTGCTGACCCCGAAGGATATTTTCCATCGTATTTTGGAAACTTGGAAGACTTTGTTGTGAAGTTTTTGGCAGAATCGTTTAAGCTTCTTTTCCAAAGACTGCCTTCCCACTGCAGTGTATTGTAGGAAGCTATCATTTGCACTACACAAATGACTTCGAAGAAGGGAGGTCCATTCCATATCCGCACTCCACCTCTGTCACATCTGTGTGACACTTCTGCTAGGCTCTTTGGCTTCATTTTCAGTTCTCCTTTTTCCTGAGTTTGAGACTCTGCAACCTGCCCCAAACTGTCACAAACAGATAAGGCCAGCAGGCTTATCCATGATTCATGGAAGCGCAATAGCAGCCAAAACATACAAACAGGCAGCAGAAACGTCATTTGCTCAGTTCTGTATCAAACCTCCCAGAGGGAGAACTTGGTATAGCAAACAGTACGGATCAGAGCCAGGAAGGCTTTAGCGCTTCGTCGTCCTTTCCTGTGACAAGACTTGGGGGTTATGATAAGAACAGTTTTCCTTAGATGTTGTGAATTACAAGGCTGAAACTACATCTGATTCCCTTCACAGCAGATCGATGTTCTCTACACATCTTTGCACTTTTCTTAGGGCCCAATCCCCAGTCAAGCTGTTCTATATTTCTCTTCTGCATGGCACAGTATGGTCCTGGCTTCCCCAACAGTTTCTGGGATGCCAGTGTTATACAAATAGATATGTATAAAGAAGTAACAGTACCATCTCCCTGAGGTTAAAGGGGGAAAGAAGTCAACCCAGAAAAGAGAGGGGGTGAAACTGATACTCACACCTTTCTCAGCAAATTACAGGGTGTCAGTTTGTAGTGACTACTGTCACCACATATTTTACTGAAGGTAGGGATGATGTTCCAGTTGGTAAGCTGGCAGCCTGCAAGGCAGCTTGTCTTCTGAACCTTCCTGGGTCTGCAGCTGTACCTGGCAAGATGTGGACCCACACCAGCTGTGAAGAAATGCAGCACATAAAGGAAGAGTCCCAGATTTGACTCACATACCCAGAGCCCTCAATACTCAGAGCCATTCTTACCCTCAATTTGGATGAAAATAAGACATGTTTCTGTCATAACCTTGGCTACCTTCAGATCAGGCTACACTTTCAGTTTTCCTCATTTTCTCCTGCCTATGCTTTAGTTGCATCCCTTTCCTCTGGGATGAGTATCTTTCATTAAGCTGTGAATCACGTGCTACTCAAGAGGCAGATAGTGGTGACCCATCTGTGCAGTGAGATGGATGTGCCTTCTGTTTTGTGCTAGAATCCCTTACGATCTGCAGCGTACACATGCCTTTGTCCAGAAGTCACTGTGCAAAAAGCCCCTGCACCTCATAGACCATAAAATCGCTTCCCTTTAGCATGCACAAGGAGGAGTCCAGGATTTTGGCCAGCATCTGCAAAGGCCATATATGATTTTGTCAGCAGGATCATTTCCTAGGAACAGCTTGCAGCTGAAGTGCCTAGAGGAGGATGACCATGATGGTGGGAGAGATTAGAGAGGAGGTTCAGAGGCTCTGCTTAGCGGACTGATACAGAGACAGACAGGGGACAAGAATCAGTGGTAGATGCTGCCTTGATCTAGGGGAATTTTGCAGAATTTCCTCACTATCCCACATCAAAAAGCACTTGCAGAGTGCAAAGATATCCCTTAGTTATTTGCAAGCAGCAGAAGTTACATGGTACACAGAAACAAGCAGGGTTTCTGACAGCTGCACATGGTCCCTGCATGTACTATTGCAATGGCAGTGAGCCTGCTCCTCCTGATGGATCCTGTCCTTGCCAGGTATTCACAGCTGAGTGTGCACAACCCTGCCCCTCTGCACCCCACCTGCCCATACCATCTGTTGTAGACACAGTTTCAACACATCACATCAAGCTAGGTTTCTGCAGGGGCACCTTGACTGGTTCCATTCTTTCCACCATAACCTCCTGAAGTAAGGAGATGGGAAAGGGGAACAAGATACGAAGGATTGTAAACCGCAGGAGCTGTCTGGATGCTGGTTGAGACACGAGGTGTGGTTAGTACAGTACCTAAAAAGCCTCTTTGGGAAGGTTTCTTTGAGATTGGACTGCAGGGAGATGGGCAGCATCTTCACAAAAGGGAAATAAAAGAATGGGAGAAATCTCTTGCTTCTAACCTCTTGCCCAGAACTTAGGGAAGACCATGGCCCCCAGCCTGGTTCTGTCTGGCAGGTGCTCAGGGGAGAAGATGGTTGAGGAAAGAAGGGAAGGAGGAAGGACATACATGACTAGCAGAGAAGGTGAGATTTGAGTCACTGGCAGGGAAAAGGGAAGAAAACCTTGAGGAAAGCAGGAGTGAAGCACTGACAATAAAACAGACATGACCTCCACTGTTATTTTCCAGATCTGGTGCTCCTGGTTCTTATGCAAACGCTTTCCCTGACTTCTTTCAGTTTATGAGTGGCATCCACTGCTTGAAGGAGTAATAGGCTGTGTGTCAGTGACAGGGAAGGCCTCATCCCACTGCACCTACTGCACAAAAGGAGCTCCCCAGAGGCCTCACACAACTTGGAAAGATCATGGGATACAGTGGGATGGGTGGTATGCAGCATGCTGTCACCCAGCCTGTCCCTCAGTAGTCCCATAAGCTCTGTTCTGCAGGAGTGCAAGGCCCAGCTGACATCCCCACCTGGGTTTTGACTAGAGATCAGTTATAAGGGCCCATACAGACTGTGTAGCTGTGATGGAGGTAGATACCCTGACACCATCAATAGCCACATCCTCAGGAAGGAGAGACTGCTCGCCTGGCTGGAGGGAGAAATGCCAGAGTTCTGGAAAACACCAGCAAAACCTACTCAGCTGGGGAAGCTCAACATGGTGACTGTGAGTCATCTCCTGAAGTCCCCACAGTACCAGAAAATCTCTCTTCTGAATAGTGTGTCTGTAAACCCGCTACATCTGACTTACATCTCATCCAACATCCTACAGCTGGGAAATCCAGCCCAGGCAAAACTGGCCATGCACATAAAGGATTTGGAAGACAGTTCTGTGCTTGACCAAGCTGACCACAGCCTTGCCTAGCATAAAGCAAATGCCCACCAGCCACAAGGAACCTAAAGAAAGCAGGATTTATAGGCAAGAATGCCTTATAACACTGTGGAGCAGTGGAGGAGGTAGCGTGCCAGCATTGGCAGTACTTTGCAAGGCCGTGCAACCTCTTGTGCCCAGAGATAATGCATCTGGGTGAGTAAATTGCACTCTCCGTAATCTCCCAGGCTTCTCTAATGAGAAGAGATTTGGGTCCATTAGCAACTATGCCACATAATAAAGACCTGCTGGAGCCATGCCTGTCCCCACAGGGCTAGCTAGTTCTCCAGTGCACACATTCTTCAGCAAAGCTTACATGCTGTTTAACTTGACAGGGCATTGTGTCTAACATTTTTTGATGTCAAATTCTCCTTCTGCACAAACATCATGTTTAAATGTTAGTTTTCCTTCTGTTCCTGCCACCATCAGTCTTCTGACCTAACATACTGGGAAACACATATTTTTTACATGATACAGACCATGAGACTTGGCACGGTGCCTCAGAAAACCTGGGATGAGGGAGGGAGAACATGGGAGGAAATGTGCTTTAAAAAGAATTTTCACAGCAACAGAAGTGGTGCCAGGAATTTTCTGTCTTGTGCAATAGGCATCAGCATGCAAAAAGAGCCACCGCACCAGAAAACAGAACCAGCTGTGGAACATGTCGCAGCAAGGACTAAAAGTACGTTTCCTATTTAATCAGCTCAATTGATGTCAGATCCAAAGCGAAGCTGAGAATTGTATAAACCCCCAAACTTCTGCTGATCTGTGTTCCTCTCTCTTTCCTGTAGAGCTTTAACTTTGAAGGTGAGTGGCAAATGCTATTAACTTTAACTAGAGACCACTGTTGTGAGTCACATGCCAAATGCTGCCTGCCACTGCAGCCTGAAGCAAATTAGAGAAACAACAAGAAAGGAATTTAAGGAGTCCATGCTTACAAGGCTGGGGTGGAAAGAGACAAACATGAGACCCAATTCTTACCATACAGTTCAGCTCTTTGTTCTTGAAAACTGATCACATTCTAGTTACAATGAGTACTTGTCCCTTCTTTTTCCTTAATTGAAGTGACTATTGTCCTACACCTTGCTCCATCCCATACTCTAGCCTCCCCAAAACCCCTTTTTTAGTTAGTGCTTTTAGAAGTTAAAAGCTTAAGTAATGATGCAGGGAATCTCTACAAACAGCTTGTGAATGATTTTATGAATCTCTTATACAATAGTTTTGAGATCTTAATGAAGTCACTCAGCTTCCTAACACAGAACTGAGTTATGCATTTTCTGGACTAAGGACAAGGGACATTATTAATTGACGACTGCTGTAATGTTATCCCATTCAAACAGGTGGTGGGTGGACTGAGACAGTGTTTTTCCAACTTTTTTTGGAGACAGCTGAGATTTTCCACAACAGCGAAGATAGTGGTAATGCTATTATATCATACAGCTCAAAATAACTGGAGTAGTGATAAAAAAGGCATACTCTCATCTATGGCACAAGGGAAGAGAGGTTTTTTTGACTGCAGGAAAAAGCAGTTTGAAGATGCTGGAGAAGGACTCCCAGTTGTGAAGAAAAAGCCAGGATGAGAAGTGGCATGTGAGAAGTTACCTGCAACTCTTCATTCTGCCAGAACAAGCACTGACCTTACTCCCATGGAAACAACACAGAGATTTCCGCAACTGTTTTGCTCTGTATCCAGGTACGTCTTGTGTTGTCCTAATAACTGTATTAGAATCACTTACAAAAGCTTTGCCTGTTTGGTATATTATTAGCTTCTTCCCAACACCCATCTTGGAGCTGAGATACTGCTGTCCCACTGCTTAAGCTAAACAGCTGCTTTCAGTACAGGGCTCAGGTTATGATTTATGCCTGCAGGGACAGTTAGCAGAAGCAGTGCACACAAGGCATTTAGCCACAGGGAATTCCTGGACTCCACTCAATTTGCAAACCAAAAGAGACAAATCCAGTGTTTTACAGCTTGAAGCAGCAGATAAACATCTACCAGCTGGATTATCAGGATTGTAAATTAGCATCTCTCACCCTGTGCTTTTCACTGAAAACAACATTATTCATCTGACCACAACAGCAGGACTCTCGTATCAATTTTTATTATCATAAATACTATGTAAGAACAGAAAGGATGGTGCAGAGCATCCGCTCCATTCTGCTGCTATTTTGCATCTTCTTTCTTGGCTCCTGCTTCTATTTTCAGGGTTTCTGGAGCTGGACGATACGCAGGAAATGCCTCCCAAG